TTTAAGAGTTTAAGAGTTTTTAAGAGTTTTAGTCAAATGTATTATAATATAGTATAGATAATTATGAAGTTTAATCTTAATTATAAATTAAAGGTTAAATTAAAAAATTAATAATTTTATAATTTTAACTTAAAATATTAATTATTATAAATATTTTCTCTCATCTCTCCTTTTTTCTCTATCCAACAAAACTTATTCGACAAAACTTATTCCGATGAATCTTATGTGAATATAAGATACATACTGTGATAACCAGATATACATAGAAAATGAATAATGCTAAATCAACAATGAGTACATTAATGAAGTGGAATTAAATTTTTATAAGTTTTATCTTCCAATGATATAAAATCCCCAATGTTAATCCTTGGTGTGTAGTATCTTAGCATTAAAAGTTTCAAAACTAGGAAACTATATTATGATAGAAGAGCTGTTTTCATGTTCACCTTGTAACATTTGTCATAAGCTCAAAATGAATTCATTTTCAAGATGCAAATTTTTCTCTTGCCCGAAGAGCTTGGAAAATTACATAACGATATCTTCTTATATTATGTAAAACAACCACTTGAAAATGTTTCCATAACACGTAAAACGTATGTATTTATACGAAAAGTCACAGTGGTATATCTGAGATGTTACTTGGTAGCCTCTTGAATGAAAGCATTCCTTTTTTAAACTAAGAGACCAATTTTCATATATTCTAAGGCCCAAGCTGATGAAATATATAATTTTCTTTTGACTGTAAACAGCTAAAAAATTTAACAAATGTATAACTTTGAGATTTAACATAGCATATATAATCTATGTCAATTTATTGAGATTCATAATAATAGAGGGAATACAAGAATAGACAAAATATATTTTTATTATAGAAATATAATATCAAACAAAGTTTATTGACTTTATAAGAATCGTACTACTAGTTATTGTAACAGAAACATTTATTGGTTGGTGTCGGTAAGCAATACCCATGATGAAAGCCTTTCGCCTTACAGTTTGGCACACAATCCGAACCATCATTGCAGAATCCAATGAAGACCTCCTGTGAATGTGCTGTACATTATCGTATGCAATCAGCTTGTGTAATAACCCTCTCTTAATTACCTTGGTAATAAAAATATAAACGTACAATCTTGCATGGTAGAGACATATATACAATATGAATAAATGTAATGCAAGGAATCAACATCACAAACAATACAACTATTGAAACATTCTAGCATGATAAACTTATATCAAATAATGTTGTATTTGAGAAAGTTCTATTATTCGATATAGAAAAATATGAGTGTGGCACTCAAAATCCAAAATAAAAACTGTTTTGTTTAGAAAGTGTCAAAGAATATGAACTATTCATACATTATTCAATAAATAAAGGTAAATTTGTTTTGTTCACAAATTATCATCACGATCTGAATCATTCATACGTCCTCTAACCAACATAAGTGGCAGGGAGAGAGGAGCACATGTGTTTGTTGGAATGTATACATATATCTAATATTTTTTAGAAAATTTGAAGAAAGTTGTATTAGTTTGGATTTTATCTATATGCTACTAAAGAGTATTTTCATACGAATAGAAGCAAATTCAAATAAATGATATGGTAAAGGCATGAAAAGCTAACCTAAAACAGAAGTACATGTAATGCAAAGGACAATCATCACAACCAACACAAACGTAGCCATATTCTTGTTGGATAAACCCATATTAGATGATGTTCCTACTAAATGTGATCAAAAATTGTCAGTATCTGTAAGAAATAAGTCTTCAAATGTGTAGGTAAATTATGGGTCAGTAAACCACCCTTAAGTAGTTTCTCAAATTCCTAAGCATTTTAAAAGCTCATAAATACAAATATCTATGAAATTAATTGAGATAATAATTAATATATTTGATACATGACTATTAATTTTCTTGTCTTACTTCCTTTGTAAAATTGATTTAGTAATTATGGCAATTGATGTAACAATATATTGTAATTAATTGTACCAATGTCTTGATTTGTAAAGCATATAACTGGTTAACAACAACACTCTTTGTGTGATAAACAAAAATATTACCATAAGAATATAAGTACGATATATCTTGCAATACAGTAAATATATTTTAGTTAAATTTATTTATAATATGATAATGAAAACAGATATTGAAAAATATTAATGATATCTTAACATGAAATAGTACTTATATTGGCATTGAAATACGTGGACATGTGAACATCCGTTAACAAAATATTTTTTATGTGTCTATCGAAGCTTTGATTTTTTTTATCGAAACTCAATTGTATATGTGTGTGTGTGTGTGTGTGTGTCTATCTATTTATATATGTCTATGTGGTGTGTGAGAGTAAAAAAGGGGTTTTTGAAATGAAAAATCTAAAAATATTGATAAGTTGAAAAGAGATATCAATCATTAGATGAAATTTTTCAATGTCCAACATTTTAAAAGAAAAATAAATAAATATTGATAAAATTTTGACTAAAATAAAGAACTTAAAGAAGTTGAGAGAGAATTTCGAAAACACTGTATAATTAAATAAATAATCCACTCATTTTTGTTCAAAATGTTTTACGCATTTTTTTAAATGGACAATAGAATACCCATGTAATACCCGAGTTTTAAAAACACATTATCATTAACTTATCTGAATTGTACCGTACTTAAGTAACGGTCGGTAATTGTTGATGGGTTAAAACCGTCAAATTACTAAACTTATTATAATATATCTATCAGGGACGGACCCAGAAATTTTTTTAAACGGTAGCACCACTTGACCATAAGAAAAAAATATAGGAAATTTTTTTCAAACGATGCCACCGTTTGACTAAGAAAATGACACTAACATGATTCAAACTTGGTTGTGGGGTAGAATTGGGGTTCTCTTCCTCATCTCCATC